TTTTTGTTTTAAAATGTTTTATATTTTTTTCAATTCTACAGCAGTCATAGTTCTCAGATTTTGGATGGATTTTGTAAATTATCACATTTGAGTTACCTTACTTGAAAAGGTTTTGCCATATGATGCACCATTTTGTTCAATTAGAGGGTACAGACATGACAGTTTAGAAGTATATAGATGTATTTTGAAACCAGTTGGATCCATTTCTGTTTCTGGGTTCATATCTTGCACAAAATAGCTGTTTATTGAATAAACCACAAATAGCTACGTTCAAAAAGCATATTATGCATAGTGAAGTAAACCACCTTATGATTTAATGTGTACATGGAAGCCACTATATGTAAAAACAGATTTTGCTCTAGCATGCTTCATTTTATACTCACTTATATTAAATTATAGATGCTATTTATTTTGCTCTTTCATTTATTTTGGAGCTATTGAAACCTCCATTTGTGTTTTTCACACATTGTGCAGTTCTTGACCTAGGCAAATTTGACTCTCCCAGTTCCACATATTCTGAATACAGCTAGCTTCAAACTACACCAGGACATTTCTCTTTGCTGCTGCTATTTACCTGACACACAGACCAATGGCAGCTGATTACAATTTCTGAGAATTTGCCTTTTGCATCATACTGTCAACTTTTAATAAGATTTCTAAGGGAAAATAATGTGTAATATTTTGTGTGTGTGTTTGTTTGAGATGTATGCCACCAGCATAAAAACAACTTGGGGCAGCATATGATTACACAAAACACCAAAAGTAATCCATTAGAAAGTATAATAAAACATATACAGTTCTACAAATTCCACCAAGGCAATTCACAAATTAAGATAATCACATGAGAGAAGAACATGGGTCTTCCTAATTAAATAGCTGGAGGAAAGCGGGGTCTTTAAGACTTCCTTATAAAAGGAAAGCAGAGTCAGAGCCATGCAGATTTCAGGGGAAATGGCATTCCATAGGGCAGGCCCACCAACAGAGAATAGATATTTCTTTATTGTCATAAGATGACATTGCTTAAAGACAGATCCTGGAACCTGTCAACTCTATATTATGGATGAGAAAGTGATGATTGGAGACAGACAGACCTCCAAATAATGAAGCCATATGCTGTAAAAGGCTTTAGAAGTGATAACAAGCACCTTGAATTGTACTCCCAAACCCACTAGCAGTCAGTGTAACTAAGTAAATGTGTTATGTAGATCTATTAAGGTGCTGTCATAAGTACTTGTGCTGCTACATTTTGCACCAGTTTTAACCTCTGATTTGTCTTCAAGGCAGCCCTATCCACAGTGTGTGGCAGAAACCCAGATGAGGTAACCAAGGCATAAATGACTACGTAGATCTTCTGATCCAGGAAAGGGCACAAACTGGCATGCAAGAAAAAGTTTTTTTCTCTTTATTTTATTTTATTTTTAACCAACAAAACAAAACAAAACAAAGCAAAACATAACACACATACACACACAGTATATACTCCTCCCCCTTTTTTTTAAATAGCGATTGTACAGTCTCTCTGAGTCATAGCTCTTCATACAGGTGTTGTGAGTCTAGGAGATCCTCATATTATGTACTAGGTCTGTCTGAGAGTGGAATCCAAATTCACAACCATTCAGTCTTAATAGGTTTACCATTCCGGGCCACTCAACCTCCTCCCACTGTAGCACAACTTTAATAGCATCACTTAGACAAATAAGGATTAACATTTAACTGGATATCATCAATATACTGTTGATTCCAAATTTCATATTGACAAATGACCATATCCAGTGACCTCATGTAGTTGTTATGATCATGAGTGAGAAGAGCCTTTATATACAAGGACTGGACTTCTCCTTTAATTAACATTCAACACTGAACACCGAAAATCATTTCAACACAATGCTTCCCACTTCCAGCCCCTAAGCTGGTCCAGAAGGATATCAATTAAAAGCTGCCAAGAAACAAAGAACCAGGATGAGTGTGTCACTGCCATTTCAATCCCACCACAAGTATCGTTTTTGCACAAACCACTTTTATTGTGCAAGGAAATGTATGGCACTCTTGGGCAATACCCTAGAATCCCACTCAGATCAGTTTTAAAAATCCTAACAGCAACATCTATATTACACAAAGTACAATTGGGAGATTGGAAATAAGAGAGAACACATGCAGTAAAGCGTTGAACTATTTAGTTATCTCCAGGCTATCTCATTTTCTGGCAGATGTTTCATTACACAGGCTAGGTAATACCATCAGTGAGGGGTTTGCTAACTGTTTACATATAGTAGCTTGCCCTGCTACTATTGGTAATGATGTGACTTCCTGTTTGATGGTTCCTTGATTAAGTAATTTCTTTCCCCTGATTGTTTTATGTAGTGTGGTTTCCTGCTTACCTGTGTGTTGGCTGCTGACGGACATACATTCTAAGTTGTTTGCTTCCTTTCTAGATTACTGATTGAATCTTTTAAAAGATATATAAATAAGATTTAACTCTATGTTTCTATTGATGGCTCATTTGTCTGAATGCCAATCTTCCAGGAAGCATTTTTTAATTCAGACTATCTTCACATATCGCACTAAGGCAAGCTATAGTTTTGTTTTAAGCAACTGGGTTGTAAACTATGAATTACAATTTAGCACAATGTAGAAATGCAGGAAAAGATGGAGTTGATAAGAAAATAAGACTTCACAGAGGGAGGACCTACGCAGGTCCTAAATTCTGTAGGGCTTTGATGGAGATAATCAGATTGTGAAACTGAACAGCAACAGGTCAGCAATCTCTACAGTTGATGCAAAAGTCAAGTGACATTCTTTTTAAAATGGCTTAGTCAGAAATTTCAGAACAGTTAAAGTAGTCTTCGCTAAACTGAGTCGTCCCAAGTATCTTAATAGGACCATAGTCGTAAGAATTCTGGGATGTGGAATCTATATATCTGGAGGGTATCCAAATAATAACTAATTCCAGTTTCTGCTCACTTTTCAAACGCTAAATGTACTGCAATTACTTGGTCTTGATGCAACTTAAGATCATACAAACAAACAATTTTCTACAACAACCATAATTGGCATAGAATTCTCAACTAGATTGAAAACATTCCCAGCTACTTGTTCCTGTTACTGCTTCATTTCCACCTTTACCAACATACAGATTCAGGAAACAGCTGTTTCATATATTTGGACTTTACTACCACATACTTGGTTATTATTGGTCCTGAACATCAAATGCAAATTACCATGACTATACATAAAACAGAAAGGAAGAAAAGGATTTGTGCTTCAGTTATAGTACACTGTAAATGTCTGCTTTTCCTTTCATTTAGAAAATATTGTAGTGAGATACACATCAGTAGATTATTTATTTAAATATATATTACTACCAAGAATTCATAGTTTGTAAGCCAAATATTATTACAGCACTTTAAAATGGCTCCCAAAGCTTGAGTTCCCTCAACTAATCTTTCCTATGTTACTCTGATAGTTCAACTTTCAGGTTTTAGCTTATTCCAAGACCAAGGAACATAAAAATATCTGTGGTTTTGTATCTCCACAACTGCAAGTTAATAATGCGGATGCTTTAAGATAGGGCACAATATATATGCATCAGATCTGCCAATTCTTTAAACTAGACATATACTTTAAAAATCTAAACATTGAACCCAATTATATTTCTAATTTGATCTTATTCACACTAAAATATAGAGCTACTTTAGGGAGAAATTTTAAATTTCTAAGTACATGAAAAACTCTGTAAAGAAGTAAATCCAAAAACTTTAAGCGGGTTGAATGAGAGTATCAAAAGTAAGGAGAGAAAAAATGCAGAATTTGTACTAGGATTTGCTGACTTTCGGGGGTTATGACAATAACAAAGTACCATAAAATGGTTATAGCCAAAAATAGAACAGGCAGCCTTGAGAATATTCCAAGTAATCAAGCTTTTTTTGTAAGTGTGCCACAGCCTGAGCTGGTCACACTGCTATTTTTCCCCAGATAGTATCAAGTAACTTAGAGATTGCACAGAGGTACCAAGATACTTTCAGTTTAAAGATATGCTTGATATTAAGGTGACCAACTGTCCTCCTTTTGGGAGGACAGTCCTCCTTTTTTAAGTTTTGTCCTCTCTCAAAAAGTGTCCTCCTAGATGTCCTCCTTTTCCATATTTGAAGACTAGATGTCCTCCTTTTTCATATTTGAAGACTAATCTGCAGGGCTTTTTTTTACTCATAGAATGCTCAGAAGGCGTTTCGGGACTTTTTGATGGTTTTTTTCAACTTTTGCATGAGCTGTGCTACTCCCCCTATTGGCTTTCGAAAGCCAATAGGAATTGCTGCTGAGTGCGCCAAAACATCTGGGCAGCAAACTTTGCAGGAACTTTGCACCCCTCACTGCTACCCAACTACACCATCTCCTACTTAGTTCCGAAGATAGACTGGAGAGATAAGTTTCTCTTGACCTTCTCTGTTCGGTTCTACACGGGGATGCACAAGGTAGGTGGTGGTGCTGGGGGGGCGGCTGGGGCGGTGGCTGCAGGGCCGGAGCTGGCGTGGCTGGTGCTTTGCGAGCCACGGGGCTGGCTCTACGGGGATGCGCAGAGTGGGGACGGTGGTGCTGGGGGCAGCTGGGGGGGTGGCTGCAGGGCCGGAGCCGGTGTGGCTGGTGCTTTGCGAGCCACGGGGCCAGCTCTCCATGGCAGGGCAGCGGTGCTGGTGGGGCGGCTGTGGGCGGGGGTGCAGCGGGCAGTTGACCTTCCATGGGCCACGCCAGCTGGTGGTCTATGCAGTGCTGACCTGCGCTGCCACCACCTCACCCTGCGCACCTACATGGCTGTCCTGGAGCGCCTGGCCCGCAACAACTGCCTCTGCCACCCACCCCGTGCAGTACTCATTTAAATAATAATTAATAGACATGTAAGCATAATTACAATATAAAATTTTATTGTTACAAATGTTTTTATTATGCATTTATCATATTATAGCGTATTCTGTATTATTGTTGCAATAAATACAATGTTTCTTTTATTTACGATATTTTTTTCTTCAATTTATTTGTGTCCTCCTTTTCATTGTAAAAAAGCTGGTCACCTTATTGATATCATGTGCATATATAATAGCAGAATTCACACTTCCACATCTCCTGTCATTCAAAAGCTATGTATAGTCAACAGTTTATTTCTATCAGGCAACCCCAGTAAACAATATAGCATTTCCTCCCAGATAACATAACAGTTAACATAACATTGCAATTAGATCCCAGTCACATTCACTTCCTTAAAATGATTTACTTCCTTAAAACAAGGAATGCTTTTCTTTGATTGTACAAGTAAGAACGCTCAATCAGTGATTCCAGAGTAATATCCAAAACCACATTACCCATTTTCTACAGCCTTCAAATCTCCCTCTCACTATGATCCTAAAAACTGTTAACAAGCTGGCTTCCGGTTCTGGGTCGTGGTGCCGCGGTCATGCAAAGAGACTTGTCTCTTCGCCGTCTGAGTTTCCTCCACCAGCAGACCCCTTGATCGGTCGAAAAGTCGCCCTGGAGGGGCGACTACCACTGAGGAGGCCCCCTGTTTGACTGGAGAAGGGGGGCGGCATCTTCTGCAGTCCAGGTAAGTTCCTTTGGGCCGACGGAGTAAAGATCAGTCAGTAAAATGGCCGATCACTCAGCTGCACCAACTGCAAGCCACAAGAACATCTAAACAAAATAGAACCACCGTGGAAGATTTGGTGAGACCTTTCCTTGCCTCTATTTTTCCTATTTACTCCTATGAAAAGCTTTTTTTTGGAACTATTTCCCTACTTTGTTAAAGGGGCGTTGTTGATGGGGGGAAGCCTTGGAACAAAAGAAAAATTAAGTTCTACTTTTTTAATGGCTGATATTATTTCTGGACATTTGGGGGTCCCAAAATCCTGATAGAGAGACTTAATATGTTAGCTATTTGGAGAATATTTTTTCCCTATTTTTTACTATTTTTATAATTAAAGAAAAGAGGGAAAGAGGAAAAGAGGAAAGAAAAGAAATTATTTTTACTGGGAGTTTGGAAAGACTGAATAACTTTGGATAACCCTCTGGGGACATCTTGTGGTAAAATTGCCATCTGCAATTGTTATTTTCTTTTCTTGGACTTTGAGTCTGACTCTGACCTTCAAATTATCACAAAAAGGAAAAGATAAAGAAGCTGTACAGCTGGGTGGAGGTGGACATTGACTGATTGCTATTAAATATAGCCTCCACCAAAAGAATAATGGCTCTAAACACTAATGAAATGGAGGAACCCTGCCTAGACTTTAATTATAAGTATATATTGGATAAAATTCTTGAAAATACTGAGCTAATAGTTGCCTATACAAGAGAGATTATTTCTCAATGATAAATTAAAACACAAGGCCTAAGCGAACACTTTGCAGGCCAAGAAACAGTAGAAGGGATATACACCCAAGAGACCTGTTCTCAACTTTGCTTACAACTTACTGAGATGGAGGAATTAAATTCACATCTGGATTATCAATCTACATTAGAAAAAACCTTGGATGCTAATGAACAAACGATTTTTAGCACAGAAACTAAGGATGTTATCCCAGAAGGACAAGCCGATGTGCAGAATTCAATTGACTTTTTGACAGATAAAAAATCAACAGAAGAAGAACTAAACAACACTAAAGAGGATTATATATCATTTTATATACAATCTATTCAGACTTTGGAGGATTCAAAAATGATTGCAATTAAACTATACATAACTTCAAAAAGGATGGGGGTTGAGGTCCAATTATGAGCTATTGAGAATCGCCACAATTTTGTTACTAGCTTATTAAAATGGACAATGGGAGAATTTCATTTGGTTTATGTATTCTGGCCAGAGAAGAAGGGAGACTTATTTGTGGATCTAGAGGCTTTATTATGGAAACCTATTTGAAATAGAAAGAAGGCTAGAATATGATATAAATATAGAATTTAAGATTATAGTTATGGGTTGCAAAGGTTTCATAGAGATTTATTTATTTATTTATGAGACTTATATACCGCTTTAAGTGCAAGCACTCTCTAAGCGGTGTACACCAGTAAGCAATGTATATATATATATATTTACATTGCCCCCAACAATCTGGGTCCTCATTTTACCTACCCCGGAAGAATGGAAGGCTGAGTCCACCTTGAGCTGGTGAGATTTGAACCACTGACCTGCTGAACACAGTCAGCTAAAGTGGGCTGCAGTACTGCACTCTAACTGCTGCGCCACCTCGGCTCAGATGCGGACTGATTTGGATTTGGACTTTTAAGAGGTGTTATTAGGATAAGATTTAGAACTTAGTATTGAAATATAGTAAGAATATATTCTTTGGAATAATAGATCTTTCTTCTTTTCTCTTTTTTCCTCTTGGTTTGTTTCTGTCTTTCTTTTTTACTATTTTTTCTATTTTTTGTGTTTTTTTATTATTAGGCATGATAATTAAATTGTGGAGGTATAATGAGAAAAAGATTGTAATAATGGAAGAGATGGAATTAATAAATGAAGAATTATTGAAGAGGAAACAGAATATGGTTAAGAATTGTTAAGAATGTAATGATGGAAATAATATGTTTAAATAAGAGAAGTTAGGGACATCCAAATGATAAATAATATGTCTGTTTAACGCTAAGTTGGATATGGTATTTGGAAATTAATAATAGATGAAAACAGGACTTTGATTTATATAAGTAATGGGTTGTAGATAATCTTTATTGATTAATGGAATTTTTACTTAGGAACGTATTAATGAATGAATTTTATCCAGAAATGTTATTAATTTGACTATATTCTGTTAATTGATAGAGAGGGAAATTTTAAGGAGTATTATGTGAGCTGTATATTTATGATGTTATTGTATTCAATTGATTACCCTATCTCCACGCAGGCTCTTAAGCTTCTGGGTGCAAAAATGGAAAAACCAATAAAATTGTTTTTTTTTAAAAAAAAACAAAAACTGTTAACAAGCTTACTTGCCATTTTGAGTTTTATTTATTGCAATATTAAGCTGCCTCAATTTTCAAATATTGGCAGTTTGCATTGTTGTCCAATACAACCAGAATAAAAAAAGCTATTAATCAAAGTCAATCAAAATCTCAGTATTCTTACACTCAAAACACCAGCGTCTTCATCTTAATTATCAGGAAAACAACACAATTGAACATAAAAATATTTGTTCCCAAAGTCTCTGTGGAAATGCACCATTTTAACAACCTTTAAAAAACAGAACAGAGAACAATTGTTTCCCAGTTTCATTTGTCCTATCTTAAATTATCCCAACTCTGCTGAATCTTATTGGGCAGACAGATACTATCTGTAGAGACAGTCTTGAAAGTTTCCCATTCCAAAGCTATATAGAGCTTTATAATGAGCACTCTGAATTACACATGGAAGTAACAGCAGCCAACACAACTGCTGTAACAGTGGCATAATATGGCAATACAAGTAGTATTCAACTTATGACCACAGTTGGAACTGGAACATTTGTGGCTAAGAGATGCAGTGAATCCGATATTGTCAGGTGAATCCAGCTTGTCCCATTGACTTTGTTTGTCAGAAGCCCCCTGTCGCAAATGACAATCATATGCCCCTGGGACTCTACAACTGTCGTATATATATGCCAGTTGCCAAGCACTTGAAATTTGATCACATGACCATGGAGGCACTACAGCAGTCATAAGTACAAGAAGCAATTGCAAGTCATTTTTTTTCAGTACCATCATAAATTCATGCAGTTGTTAAACAAATGGTCGTAAGTCAAGTACTATCTGTAGTGGTTTTCAGGTGACTTTCAAGAGAAGTGCCACTTAGAGTAAATCATAATAATTCAAATGTGAGGTGATTATTGTTAGTATTGTATAATCTGCTAACGGGAAACCCATGAACATTGTAGTATAAATTCTACAAACAGTATATCAGAGTTAAAAATTGAAGAATATCTCCCCACAAAACCAGCCATCCTGTATTGAATAGCATATCTCTTACGTGCTTGGCACACAGTTAGCAGAAACAATGTGCTGCAGAAAACATTTATATCTGAATGTGGGAAAGGCAAAGTTTACATTCTTGCTTATTTAACATCTCTCAATATAAATTATCATTAACTCTTATTATTATAATAAATTCAATGAAAACAGACCATGCATTCCTTCTGCAAGGACCCAGATGCCACTTCAGTTTTCCAATGCTCTTTGCATTGTTTTATCATTGCAAGTAAACTATGTAAGGAACCCAAGTGTTCAGGGTGACTTGTAGCCAAAAAAAGCATCGCAACATGACTTGGTAAATGACTTAATGTTCTTGCATCACATTACAAACAAACTAGCGTACACTTGATGAAGTGTAAACTAACATGAGTTGATTTGAGGTACCTGGCATTAACCTACCGGTAAATGCTTGCAAAAAATGGTAAGTGTTATGTTTGGTGTTATGTTTGGTGTTCTGTGAGGCATCAACCAGGCAGCAGGTGAACAAACAACTCTTTATTAAAGGTTTAAACAGAAGCCTGGATAGCTGAAGCTCCACCCCTATTTATACACTCAGCAATAGGATTCAAGTATTAGTTCCCACTTTAACACAAGATTATTAGCATGTAGACAGCACGTCTGGCTCTTAACTGACAGTATCTTATGGCCGTTTTTTCAACAATTCCAAGTAATTCACCTCAATACATTACAGTATGTGTCTAGGCCTGTGATAGTGAATCTTTTAGAGACTGAGTGCCCAAACTGCAACCCAAAATCCACATGCATTGTCAAGTGCTGGGTGGGTGTGGCCCATTGGCTGGGTGTGGCCAATTAGGTGGGCATGGCTGCAGTGGTAACGACAGACTGGGTGGGACTAAAAAGTTCAATCAATCAATTCCAACTTTGCAAGATCTTTTTTTTTCCACAAGAAGTTGAAATTGACTGATTGAACCTTTTTTTTTTTTTTGCACATGGCGGCGGAGGCCTAAAGCAAAAAGGTTTTATAAAACCCAGCTGAAGGCCTAGGACTGGGGCAACAGCGCGCGTGCCCACAGAGAGGGCTCTGAGTGCTGCCTCTGGCACCCGTGCCATAGGTTCACCACCACTGATCTAGGCTAAAACAAAATGTAACAGACGGCAATATTTTACTGATGCTGTTTATACATGTTGTTAAAACAGATATCAAAAGTAGAAAGCAATTAGTATTTAACCTATTTTATTGAAGTTCCACAACTTCTTACTCCAGGAGATATGCAACATTGGGATACTAAATTAATAATAAACATTCCCTGGAAATAAAACTATTGTAATTATTAGTTTTATGTTCCATTATTGTGTACAGGAACTCAAGGAAGTATACAGTACATAATGCTCCCCCTATTTTTTCTCACAGTAATCCTGACAGAGTGTGATGGCCCAAAATCATCCAATGAATTACTATGGCTGAGGGTAGACTAGAGCCTAGAGGTTAAAAATAATTTAACTACCACACTGATTCTCTTTCTCTGTTCTTATACCCATTAATTCTATGCATATTATAGAAGCTGAAAAGAGAGAAATAAGGAGAGATTAAAAGAAGACCCCAAATTTTGCATCTGAATCTTCCTTTTCAGCAAAGCACAGTGACATGCAACATAAACAATTATTTCAGGCCAGAAATACAGACTGATATTGTAAGAACATAAAAATCTTTCCTTTCCATTATGAAAAATAGACGATCC